GGTAAACGTGGCGTAGCACCCCGTATTCCAGATTATATCTATCTATCTATCTTTCAGTCTTCCGCTGTGATTGTTGTTTGGTTTAGTTATCTGCATGTTTAAGGATTTTAAATAGCATATTTTTAGGGGGTGTTACACCAAGGATAGATGAACTGTAGTCGATAGGAATGCGTGTCTAATAGAAAATCCACAAACCACTTCTATTGAACTTACTTGCTTACCAGGAGCTTAAGTGCACATAGTCCACTTGGATCATCTTCCAATACCTTCGATAGATGTGCCTTCAAGCTCACATTCTCTATCAGCAGACGAATTACACTTTCACATTAATGATATTATGTGTGCCATTAACTTCAGCCACTCTACTCTTCTAGATTAAGGACAATAAGTAATGGAGACACTCTTGAAAGACATCGCACATAGGGAGAATTCATCAATAAAATGTATGACACACTAAAGAAGTTTCATGATGTGGTCATACCTTCTATCTTCACTTACACATCAACTTCTTTAGCAGATGTCAAGGTTGAACTGTCCATACTAATGGGAGACATAAGGAAGCACCTTCATAAGTCATCAACTCTAAGGAAATCTATGCCCAGTTTGGGAAATAAGAGGTTTGAAGCCTTAGAAGTTGATATGTGTGGTTTATTAAGAGGGATATTGAAGCAGCTTGAGGCTTAGAAGACTAAGTATACTAGTAATCATGAAATAACCAAGTTGCTTGCAAGGCAAGACACAATGGAAAAGGAAATTCCCAACTTCAAGCAAGCTAAACTCTCTTTGATAGCGAAAAATGACTAAGTTTCACAATTGACAATCGGCTCAATCGCTATGAAAAAACAAAGGAAAATTTTGTTAGCATGAACATGAAACTCAACGTTCTTGTCAGTGATAACAATAAATGATAATGCCAAAAAGGGGGAAAGTGGGATGCAGGTAAAGAAAAAACTTGATGAGAGTAGTAATAAACACATATGATACTCGATTTGCAACTATACAAATTCGATTAGGCAATTGCACCTATTATTTTGAGTATGGAGGTTTGAATAACGAGTGTTGTATCCCACAGGGACTATAAGTATTAATACTATTTGTTGTTCTATTATGTAGCCCAAAGAAATTGTGGAAAAGAGTTAAGAGAAAGTGAAAGTAAATGAATAAAGCAATAAATAAAAACAGGCAAATATGAGTGAATCAACTAATGAGAAAATGGGTATTGAATCTATGGATCCTGTTGAATTTGGAAGATGGAATGGCCTGGCGGGTGGAGAATAATACCACCCGCCAGTTAGGCGGAAGCAATATGAAGAATCAAGACTAGGAAATGAATATAAGACTGAAATTATATTAGTCTTCCTTGTTTCTAATACAGAAACACAGTACATATATATACATAAAGACATAACCGTAAATAACTACCCATAACTTACACCTATTCATAAACAGACACAACCCTATAGATAAAACTAACTCTTTATTTTCAACACTCCCCCTCAAGCTTGAACATCTGGAAGTTTCAAGCTTGGATTAAAACATACACTCTACCTTACTTTAAATTACAAATGAAGATTAAAAGCAGCTAGAGAATAACAGTGCTGGATGGCTTCGGAGGAACAATGCTATAAACAACCCTTGGGAATGAAGGCACCAGGGACGAAGCTTGTCACAAACTGACACGAACACCCTCACAGCAACATAAGCACTCTAGGATTTGCCAACAACAATCTTCATCACGAACGACAGAGCAAACCAATCTGAGCAGCAAATGGGAGGTAGTAGAGCCCACATGATTGTTGTATGAATACCGAGAAAACCTCATGATTGTTGTTTATATCTCTTATAGGATAAGTGAATAACAAAAGAAGCTTTCGGAAATAAACAAGGTACCAAACATGAAAACCCTAGGGACTAAGTATGGCATACCGAATATAAAGAAACAAATACGGTTATACCAAAAACACCCCGGAAAGAGGTTTGACAACAAACCCAAAAAGCCTTCAAACTTTCACCAAAAGGTCCAAGGGCAAACAACAATCTGGAATTTTCACCGGAGAATACATCACAAGGAAAAATACACCACAGCAAAATCCACGCAGATGGGGTTGCGGGGTACGGGCAGAGGTTTCTGGAGAATTTCGCCGAAAAATCACGTCGGAGGTGGGCTCCCGCGTCGGCGCGATTCCGAGAGTGACTGTGGTTGTAGATTTTGAAGCAAACCACCATAGATACGTCGGAATTCAAGAGGCAGTCTCAGGGCTACTATTTATGCCAGAAAATGTAAGGAAAATGCCCTAGGAAAGTGGCTCTGATACCATGTTGAATTTGGAAGATGGAATGCTCTGGCGGGTGGAGAATAATACCACCCGCCAGTTAGGCGGAAGCAATATGAAGAATCAAGACTAGGAAATGAATATAAGACTGAAATTATATTAGTCTTCCTTGTTTCTAATACAGAAACACAATACATATATATACACAAAGACATAACCGTAAATAACTACCCATAACTTACACCTATTCATAAACAGACACAACCCTATAGATAACCATAAATAACTACCCATAACTTACACCTATTCATAAACAGACACAACCCTATAGATAAAACTAACTCTTTATTTTCAACAGATCCCTTAGGATATCATTGACCATAAAAGATACATGCTAATAACAATTGATTATGCTTAAGACCACGAGACATCCTCTTACTTGCTAATATCTTTCTTAAGAGCGTTAACAACTAATCTTGAGTTGATTAATTAGAATCTCTTCTAAATCAAAATATCTCCTAAGGATTGCAAACACAGAGGATTGATGTCATCCTACCTCTAGGGTTGCATTCCACTCCTTCCAATTGTGTTAGATCTACATTAACTAAGAATATTTCTATTGTAAAGTTCATGCCCCAATCAAGTATCCAATAAGCTAAGCCGACACTTATTGATTCAAGAACAATAAAGAAACACAATTGAACCAAAGGACAAACATATATAAATTAGCAAGAAACAATAAAGAGCATGGTCTCAATCTAGGGTTCACCATAAATCCAAGTATTACAACGTTTAGCCTATAAACATGGAGGCAAACATGAACAGAAATAAAAAACATAGGAAAACACCTTTAATCGGTGAAGAAATATTGATTACAAGCTTCCCCAAGATAAAAAGATATCTTCCCAAGAGTGGTTGAAGCCCCTAAGAGTGTCTTCGAACGGTTCTTGAAGCCTCGGGTCAAAAAGTTCCTCAAAATATCTCAAATTGGCGATAAATACATCTTTCCAGTTGGGACACAACCATGTCCTCGGGCGTGTTCCTTTTTTCCTAAAAGTGTCGCCCAGGTGACACGTCCGTGTCATATGGAAAGTCGAACTTCACCCTAAATTTTGGCCTTGTTCCACTCTGATTCTTGGAAAACTCAAAACATGAAAGTTGTAGTTCATTATCTTATCTTTTCATAGACACCTAGATAACCTTGATTGAACTTCATATGAGTGAGATATGACTAAAACATTTTTGAGGTGTCACATGACAGTGTCCTTGGGGCACATCAAGTTCTTTTGATTTTCTGGCGTTAGGTGTCTCGAATCTCTGAAAATGCTCAACATGAAAGTCGTAGATGACTTCTTTAGCTTTCCATTGGCACCTCTATCACCTCCATTGGACTTTTATGATAGAGTCATGGCCAAATTACTCTAGCATGTCATGAATTGTCATGTTTACCATTCTTGCTTAACAATACTTGAAAACCAAATGATAAAGAACTAAGTACCAAATTCACTCAATCTAAACAAGAAATAGATCAAATTGATATGAATTAACTAATGGAAATAAGTTCATTTGAACACTTATCAAATACCCCACACTTAAATCTTTGCTTGTACTCAAGCAAAACCCAAAATGAGTAATAACTTCAACCACAATACTAAAATAGATAAAGAAAGAAAAAAAAAAAAAAGACAAACCAGTTTGGTAAGATGAACGATTGCACTTAGCACGTGCAACAAGCCCTTTAAACTCCTAGATTGCCCTAGTTGACGAGTATGGTCTAGTAAGGGTTTGTAGAGGATATACCCACAAAATGAAAAGTTCAAGTAAAGACAGCAATTCCATAATGAATGCAACAAGCAATCCCCAAATTGTCATGGGTTGAAATTATCTTCAAAACTAGCATTGTGCATCGTACGGGTTCGGGTTTTAGAACCGCCCACCTGTTCAATTTTTGGATTGTAATTTTTAAATTCTATCTGATTATTTTTAGAAGGTAATCCATTTAGATTTTGATATGTCGAGTTCAGTCATTTTAATATCGGATTTAAATTTAAAGAAAAAAACTAAAACTATAAACTTAATTTAAAATTTACATATTTAGTAATCTAAATGTTACAACTTACAAGTTACAACTTACAATTTACAAATTTTCATGATTAAAATACCAAATGTGTCTAAATTACAACTTAAAAGTTACACGTTACAAGTCAAGATTAGCATTCAAATTTAAAGTTACAAGTTTCAAGTCAGTCCAACTGTCAAAGTTACAACTTAAACGTTAAAAGTTACTAGTTATTATTATTATTATTATTATTATTATTAGCCGGGGATTCGGGGACGGGGTCGGGGCAGGGAATGCTTTCCCCGTCCCCGGTTCCCAGAAATAAATCTTCGAACTTGTCCCCGTCGAGGCGGGGGTTCGTTTTCCCCGTCGGCGGCGCGTTATATATATATATATATATATATATATATATATATATATATATATATATATATATATATATATATATATATATAATAATAATAATAATAATAATAATAATAATATTATTATTATTATTATTATTATTATTATTATTATTATTATTATTAGCCGGGGGTTCGGGGACGGGGTCGGGGCAGGGAATGCTTTCCCCGTCCCCGGTTCCCTGAAATAAATCCTCGAACCTGTCCCCGTCGAGGCGGGGGTTCGTTTTCCCCGTCGGCGACGCGTTCAATTGCCATTCCTACTAATGAGCAATATACCAACTCAAAGCCATTTCAGACAAATGGTGGAAGTATCATCATAGCCATTGACAACAACTGGAATTAGTATTTATTGCACTATTAATGAGTAAAAACAAAATGCGAATAAGGGAGAGTGATATGCCAGATGTCTAGATTAGATTACTATAAGACCCATGGATTATTAATTCAATTAATCAAGGCAAAAGGCTTAAAGCTTAATGATCTGATACACTTATACCTGATGTCCGATAGGCTGATAGAAAAGAATCAATGGTAGTAACAATTTAATTGTTGCCAAGCCATTGTCCTACAATGTCCCAGTTTTCCTCAGTGAATCAGAAATGAAAATTCAGTCATTCACATATCACATTTCACAGAAAACTGGAATGAAAGACTGAAAGTTGAAATGATAAAAAAATTAAATATAACAGCCTTACAGGAATGGTAGGAAGGAAAAAAACAGCAGTCCCAGGTCCTGTGCTTCCAGTGTCCAACTCTGCAAATAAAAGGAAATTAATTAAAAAGGAATCTAAGTTAAAACTAATAAAGTAAAAATAGAATGTTTTAATCTAACACTCTAAGTTACCTTGTTCAAGCCTTTCAACATCATCAATATTTTCATCGATATGTACTGGTTGATTTGGTAACCTCAACCAGTCTTGTTCACATACTAGAGCTTCCACAATTTTAGGAGTTAAGAAACTCCTAAATGCATCTAATACCCTTCCACTAGTACTAAATGCACTTTCTGAGACAACAGTGGATATTGGAACTGCTAGCACATCCCTTGCCATTTTAGAGAGAGTAGGAAATCTCTCACTATTTAGCTTCCACCACCTAAGAATATCAAAGTCAGGACTTTCCTCCATAATTTTTCACTTAAATACACTTGAAGCTCTATTTCTCTAGTGCTTCCACCAGCCTCCATTCTTTGTCTTTTGAGTTGGCTTTTTAACGTAGACTAAGGTCTACCAATTGTGGTATGAGACTAGACAAGTTGCACATCTCATTGGTTACCAGAAGATGATTCAGATTGTTGCACATTGACGGAGTAGGTGGCTGCATAGTCACCATACAATTCTACCATGGCAGCTTGGACCTTTCCTAAACACTGCTCCCCCTTCAGTTCTCCATATAGTTGGACAAACTAGTATGACATATATTCGAATTTATCTCTTGGGTCCAAGATATTTGAAAAGAATATCAAGAAATTCATTTTTTCAGGATCTCCAATATTTTTCAAGTTTAGTTTTCATTTGGGATGCCATTGCCTAAGAAAACAATGAAATACCAAACAGGAAAACATAATCAGAAATCAGATTAATCACATAATCAGATTATTTTTAAAAAAGAGTAAATACCAGCCAAGGTCCCTCGAGTTTGGTGGTTTCACCACCTATAGTCCTTAACTTCCATAATTACCATACGTGGTCCTCCGAGTTGCGAGATCTGACCTGCTATCATCCCGCCGTTAGTTTTTCCCGTCTAAGTCGTCAAAAGCAAGGGTAGAAATGTAATTTGGCATATATAAATGTTTTTTACTCTTTGTGAATCATAGTTGAAAAGTTATCTCAGAGTGCAACGGTGGTGTACTGTTCGTCCGTTGGTGTCGCCGCCGGAATCTGCTGCAATTCAATGGACCGGTGCTATTCCGCTGGCGACGACCTTCCTTCCCGGCGAGCCATCAGAATGGCGGCAACAGTAGAAGACCAACAACACCACCATCCCTGTCTCATCTTCTCTTCTCACCCACCGTTCGTCCTTCTCCTTTCCTCTCTTAGCCGACGAGAAGAAGACGGGAAGTAGCGGATCCTTCGAGAATCGAAGCTACGGCGTCGGGTTGAGCTGAGAGTATTAGAACTGGTTTCGAATTTTACGGTGCGGGGTGGTAGTCAATGAGGAGGCGGCGCTGCGGATTTTACGGTGCGGAATGACACCGGTCCATGAAATTGCAGCGGATTCCAGCGGCGGCACCAACGGAGGAACGGTATTGCGGTACACCATCGCTGCAATAATGCCTCATCTTCCTCGTCTCTGTTTCCTGTTCTTTCTCCACCCCTTTTTAATTCCCCATAAATTTTCTTCAAATCCTCCTTTCTTGTTCAACCAATGAGAATCAAATTGGGATCGGAACAAATTAATACAAGATTACAAACAGTCTTCTACCTTCTTTCTTGAATTGATTGTGCGTATGGTGGAAATTGAGTGGAGCTTAGCTTCCAGCACAGCGTGGAGGATCTCTCCATCTTTTGCTCTGCGTAATTATTGTTTTGATTATGCAATTCTGATTTTTATATTTGGATTTGAGTTTGATTTCAACTCTCTTACTTCGCCCCTGCAGCCAATTGTTGCAAAACTGGACAATGTGGTGGTAAAGAATAAAGTAGAAGAGGGAAAAGGAGATGAGATTGTTGCAAAGGATGAGAATTATGATTCAAAGAAAAGGAGAAAAGTGGGGAGTAGTTTGGAGCTTCTCAAAAGGAGGACGGTGCTTTGGAGATCAATTTTCAATCTGGGCAAATTTGTTGCAAAAAATGGGTTTGGTATGAGCACCCCTTCCTTGTATGTATCATTTTATTATTTTGTGGGTGGACAATTTTTGAACTTTTAATGGATTTCAGGCTAAGATTCGAAGGAGATGATCCAACCATATGTTTGTTTAAATGTTTAATCAAGAACATGCGCTGCTCTTCTTTGGTTAATTCCAGATCAATTCTCACTATCCCACCGCCGCCATTATATGCCTGAACAGATGGTCAAGAGCATGACAAAAATATGGAAAATATGGAAGATGCAGCCAATCTGTCAATGCTACAAAAGAGCTAACTAAGGGCCGGAGAAGGGAGTGCAGACTACTGAGATCGTCTTTGGTGATTGAATTATCAAAACAACACAGACTAAATAAACTTTTCAAAAGAAGGATGGAGATGCTCCCGCTGACTAGTCTGACTCCCATATACTCAGCAGTTTCATCTTGGCAAAAGATACCCGATACAGCCTCTCGCCGACTCCTCCTTCTCCGTACAGATAAGGATTGCAGATGATATTGCACCTGCTGGCTTTCTGTTGTTGAAACATTCTAGACAACACTAATGGAACGAAGTGTTCATTATTATTCCCCTGAGTCTGCCGAGTCCATGTGAGTATTTGCTACATACATATAAGCGTCCATTGTTATTCTGTCGAGTCCGCAGTTGTCCGCGACCGAGGGCCCCAATCCCAGCAGCTACCGCCGACAAAACCGCGAGCTATTGCCACTGCTGAGAGACCGTCGACCACGGACAGCCCTGTCACAACAGACTCCTTCTTCTCCAATACAGGGGTGGTCCGGCGTCGCCTTCCACGACCACTTCTCACCCGTCGCAACCTCGACGGACAAAACCGATGGAGGAGTCCAAGATAATGATCCGGGAAGAACGGAGGTCGCCGGAGGAGATGAGAGCGTCGTTATATCCGCTGCTTCCCATCTTCTGCTTGCCGGCCGAGAGAGAAATGGAGAAGGACGAACGTGGATGAGAAGAGAAGAAGAGACATGGATGGTGGTGTTGTTGGTCTTCTATTGTTGCCGTCAATACCTTAGATGTCAAATTACATTTCTACCCCTACTTTTGACTGCTTTGACGGAAGAAACTAACAGGAGGATGATAGCAGGTCAGATCTCGCAACTCGGAGGACCACGTATGGTAATTAAGGAAGTTAGGGACTATAGGTGGTGAAACCACCAAATTCGAGGGACCTTAGCTGGTATTTACTCTTTTAAAAAAATACAAAAAATGTAAATTTATTAATTACCATTTTAGAACCATTAGCTCCAACCATGTCATCCAACATGCAACTGAAATTTGAAATCTCACTAAAGAAAGTGTTAGAGGTGACATATAGAGAGCAAGATATTCTCACTGTCATCTCATAAAAGCTTTTGAGCAAAATTACAAAGCTTTCAACAGAACACCAATAAAGAAAAGAAGGAACATAATCATCTAGATCAGCTGAAAATGAGGCATCATTTTCTTCATATGCCTCAAACACCTTCTTGTATTATATGACAGAGTTATGCATTATGTAGGTGTTGTTCCATCTTGTTGGGACATCTAGTTGTAAAGCACATTTTGCTTCCACCCCAATCAGATCAGCAAGATCTCTGAAATTTTTGAGCCTTGCAAGTGAGTTCCTGACCGATCTAACAGTATCCCTAACCCTCTTAATAGCACTATCAGCAAATTTTAACCCATCATGGACCACCAATTTCGAAATATGGGCTATGAACCTCATGTGCATGTACTGACTCCTAATAGAGGTTGTACCCCAAGACAACGATTTGTTTCTATAAAAACCCATAGCAGTATCATTGGAAGATGCATTATCTGTAGGGACAGTAAAGACATTTCTAATTCCCCACTCAATCAAACAGCTCTCTAATGCCTTAATTAGCTACATGCTCCCCTTTGTGAGAAGAAATAGGGACAAAAGATATGAAATGTTCAATAATATATGCACATATAATTAATCATCTGCACAGAAGTCTAGGTATTAGTAGTCAAGCTAACCCTTTGAGTGTTATGCCTAAAAAGCTTCTTAAGGTTTAATCTTTCATCTTGGTAAATCTGGTATATATCTCTTGAAATTGTTCCCCTAGAAGGTATACCGAATTTAGGGCAAGCAACCAAAATAAACCTTTTAAACCCTTGCCCCTCAACAAACCTAAATGGAAGCTCATCAATTATTATCACCTCACATAAAGCCCTCCTAATGACTTCCTGATTAAAAACCCAAGACCCTAATTCCCCCAATACCGCCTCAGAACCCTTAGTTGTAGAGGTTGATATAGTAGTGAAAGTGAGCAGTGACTGCCTTGTATCCTTAGAATGAGGATTTTTTTAGACAACCAAACATATGATTTCTTAAAGAGGAAATGCAATGTTTTTTTTTTACTCACTTGCAAAGAGTCTTGCATGACAGTTCAAAATCAGCAGCTTCAACATTCTGCCCAACACCAAGGCTTATATAAGAGATGTGGGAATTAATAGGGCTAACACTTAGCATTAACAACTGATATAATTTCAGCTTTGTAACCTTCGTAACCGACAACTTAATCTAGAGTTAAACACAACTGTTACGACCATTAATTCTTAGAAAATAAATTAGAATTAATTCGAAATTAATTCCTATGAATCAGAATTAACACTTCCATAATGGTACTCCGAAGAGTAGTTTGAGCAGTACCCACGAATGGTGGTTCGAGCAGTACCCACGAATAGTTGTGTGAAGGTTATGATTGGTCAACCATTCAGTCAAATCGATTGGTCAACTCAACTGAGTGGTTAATCTTAGTACCATTCGGATTCACTACTCGGACAGTGGCTCTACGAAAGTTTGGCATAACTTTGTGAAGGTTATGAGTGGTCAACCATTCAGTCAAACCGATTGGTCAACTCAACCGAGTGGTTAATCTTAGTACCATTCGGATTCACTACTCGGACAGTGTCTCTACGAAAGTTTGGCATAACTTTCGGACGACATTTGTAGCAAGGCCAGCCAATTTTTCGGGCGACATTTGTGCTCGCAGGTGCTGACGTACACGAGTCAAGCCTTTTCGGGCTCATTTTGGAATTTGATTTGCACACCCCCTGTGCGTGAGAGAGAGCCTCTATGCTATAAAATTCAACATGCCTTTAAAAAACTCTTGTATATATAGTGGTGCAAACCCACATCCCAAACTAATGTGGGACAAGTGCTTTTACAAAGCCTTTCCACCTTCATTTTCCAACTCAAATGAGTCTACTTTGAGAATCAATTTCTCATTCACCGATTGTCCATTTTGAGCGTAAAATATATCAATCTCTCCGTATCATTGCGAAAAACCTGAATCCACTTTAACCCGATCCAAATCGAAAGTGGAACCCACATATATTTGTACCACAAAATAACCACTTAAATGCCATTTTATGCTAAAAATTCCAACTAGTGTGATGGTGTAGTGTGACATGAGCCACTCCATGCGCATTTTTTGGTCAATTCTCTACTAGTGTGCGTTTTGGCTTAGCGTAAATTTCCCTCTTTCTTCTTATCACTTCTAGAATAACGTCATCGAGCTAACCAGTGTCATGTAGAGCTCTGCACTTTTTTGAAGGATGCAATGGTGACCTGAATTCTAGAAGTTGGCTCACCTCATGTTTTCCCACTCTTATATATGCAAGGATAACTTAAAGTCTATTTTAGCTTTTTTGATGGACTCTTTTGCTTCCCCTCATGCCTTTTTCTTTGAGAAGAGGGATTCACACAAGCTCACCATAAAAAGATATCACCTTTTGTCTCATGTCACATCGAGAAAGTAT